TGAAGCACTTACCTTATCATCACATTCTTTAAAAAATATCCATCTGGCTAATTGTAACTTAGGAAGTGGACAAGCTCAGCTTCTCACAAAAACATTAAGACAGTGTCCTTCTTTAAAGAGCATAGACTTATCTGGCAATTGTGGCATTAATGAAGAATGTGAAAATATATTTGAAGCACTTACCTTATCATCACATTCTTTAAAAAATATCCATCTGGCTAATTGTAACTTACGAAATGAACAAGTTCAGTTTCTAGCAAAAACATTAAGACAGTGTCCTTCTTTAAAGAGCATAGATTTATCTGGCAATTGTGGCATTAATGAAGAATATGAAAATATATTTGAAGCATTTACCTTATCATCACATTCTTTAAAAATATCCATCTTGCTAATTGTATTTTGGGAAATGAACAAGTTCACCATCTCACCAAAACACTTAAACAGTGTTCTTCTTTAAAGAGCATAGATTTATCTGGCAATTATGGCATTAATGAAGAATGTGAAAACATATTTGAAGCACTTACATCATCATCACTCTCTTTAAATAATATCAATCTGCCAATTGTACTTTAAGAAAGAATAAAGTTCGGTTTGTCATTAAAGCACTGGAACCGTGTTCTTCAGTAGAAAGTATTGATTTATCTGGAAACTCAGAGATTTGTGATGAATGTTAAAGTATTTTTAAGGCAATTACCTCATCATTACTTTCTTTAAAAAGGTTCAAAAAACATCCACAAAAGAGAGCAAATGTTGAATTTGAAACAGTTAAAAAAATGTTGAAAAAATGAAAAAAAAACTTTTTCTTTTGAAGACTTTGTAGAAAAGTATTAATTTCATATGTATTGTACAACTTTGGTTATATTTTACATGCTTGAACTCTATTATTTTATGCAACTTATACATGTACATCTTAAAACCTATGTAAGAAAATGCTATAACATTGGCAAACATAAGCCTGATTAGTCAGCTTGAAGGCTCATCTTTAATTACCAATAAAGGTTTGGCCAAGTTATAATTTAATTAACTTGCCTAGGGTGTGGCCAAGTTATAATTCAATTAACCTTCCTAAATATTCAACCTTGTAACATCCTGTTACTAAATATAAATATGAACTACACATTTCGGCAACTGTAAAGTGATGATTGGATGTCAGAGGTAAACCTCAAAGTATATAAATCCGCACTATTCTCATTTGGCATGCAGCTTCCATCTGGACCCAAGGACCTGGGAAAATCATCTGGAAACAACCTCCACTGGAACCATCCATCTACTCCTCAACATTGGAAGACAGTTTGGTAATTTGGCAACCTGCTTTTACAAACTATCTACTCTGCTATCGAACTCTCATATTGTTACTTGCTTAAGTATTATTATTTCGAATAAACCGTTTTAATTTAAACATTTGTTTAAAGGTTCGAGTAGAAACAGTATTGTTAAAACACATAGATTTTGCCAGCAAGAGCAGTACAGTATAATTAAATATATCTTCAAAAAAGCTGACTTTGATAGCTAAACTGAAGGGACAGAAAATGTCCAGAGAGTGTCAGAAAGCATCCATAGAGTATTAAAAATCAATTAAAGAAGAATAGAGAAGATGAAATGAATATCAAATGTGTGGCTAGCAAGAATTGATATTGAAAAAGATAAGAAATTTATTGAAACTACAGAAGAGGTAAGGTTCTCTTTCTCTGTTTACCAAATGGCAGTAAAAAATGAAAAGATCTTCTCATCCACAAAGGATATACTTTTAACATAAAAATGAAAGGAAAAACAGCTACAATTTGGGCTTGTTCTGTTCATAATAAAATAGAAAGTGTTCTGCAAGTATCGATCAAAAAGGAAGCAATTTTGTAGTTGGTAAAATGAAACACAATCATTCACCATTGAAAAATGCAGAAGAGCAGATTATAATTAGAAAAGATATCAAAGAGAAGTGCTTTAATGATAATAAATCATCTAGAAAAAGGATTGCAGATGACATTCATTCAAAATATCCATATGGGAATTTACATAATTGCAAAGAAGTAGCTAACTATAACAGGAAAAAAAATAGACCAGCTAAGCCTAATGATGTCAACTTTCAACTTCATTTGACTTTTATACCATTGGGATTTCTAAAGAAAGATAAAGAGTAGCTTTTGGCCTCCAGAAACTTGGTCTGTTTTTAACCAATCAATTAGAACAAGTGAAGGATTCCATAATAGACTCAATAAAAACATTGGAAAAAATTCATCATTATACACAATTATTGATTAACTAAAGAGAGAGGCTGAGTTAATTTCTGTATATGAAAAATTATTAAGTGAGAAGAAGATATTGAGAATGCAAAAAAAAGGCTACACAAAAATTCAAACAGAGCTTTTTTCCATTTGGGAAAACTTCAAAGTTAGTGATGTTACAGCAAGTCAACTTGTTGAGATGTGTTCTGCTTTATATTATTAAATATGTGCAGTATTAATTCAAAAATGTTCAAGCCATTTGAAGAAATATCTTCTAAATGAATTTTTTTACTTGCAATTTCATGGTTTTCATTTTCTCAGATCATTAGTATTTAATCAATTAAGTAAAATATATTAACTCATTTTGTACTTTGTTGTATTGTAATTCTAGGAATTTCTGGTTTGTCACAACTGTAATCATCCTTTGCAATCATTTACCAATTTGCCAAAGTACTCACACAAATAGTTTACAAACTTCAATGTTCACAAAAACAAAAGTAATGTGCTGCTCTTGCTGGCAAAATTTATGCATTTGCAAGTTATAACAATACTGGTTCTATTCAAACCATTAAACAAATGTTTAAATTAAAACGATTTATTTGCAATAATAATACTTAAGCAAGTAGTAATATGAGAGTTCAATGATGAAGATGCCTGTAGAATGAGAATAATGAGGATTTATATACTTTGAGGTTTGCCTCTCATATTCAATCATCACTTTACAGTTGCCGAAATGTGTATTTCAGTTAGTAAATTTAGCATCAGTATATAAGGAGGAACTATATCTGATTAATGCATATTAAGTAGAACAGTATTGTGTATGAGCCTATGTATTTTATTTTGGGTGTAGGAGAAAACATTGACAAGAGAAAATGATTTTCTGGCTAAAATATTATCTGCAAAGGATATTTATCAAATTCAATTATAAACACAAATAAGAAATAACATTATATCACATTTATAAAATATAATCTACAGATTAGGGCTTTTTGTTACTGCATAACAGCATCTGTTATTAAATAAAAAGTAACCTTTTTGAGATACATCTCTTTAATGTTTTCTGTTCCTTTGTCAATTCCATTGCGGCTCCATCTAATATGCCCAAAGAATCTATTTCTTATGAAATCTATCCTTACAAAATAAGATTCTTTCTAAAGTTCTAGATTCTAATTCTATGATATAAAAGTCTTTTTAAAGTTCCATCAGTCTAATTCCTTTAAAAAAGAAGCATTTTTAAAGTTCCAATTCTATTATTCATACATAATAAAAGTCTTACTAAAGGTCTATGATATCTAAAGTCTAAAAATCATTATGTCATCATTTCTAAGTGTACAGGCAGCATAAAGAAAAATGTAAACTATGCAACCATTTAGTATTGAAAGTAAGTTTAAATTCAATTTTATAAGAGATGACATCATTATATTATATAATAATTGCATTAAATAGAAAATCATTACTTTCTTTGCAACATTTGCCAAGATATTCCTAAAAAAAGACATTTTGTAACATTACAATATCTCTCTACCAGCCAAATCACTAGAGTCAACTCTGAATTGGAAAATGAAGTAGAAGTAACAGCTGAACAATCAAATGCTGATGGTATAACTGAGAATAATGTTGTTGATAATGGTTCAGATATTGTGATGAGAATGAAAAACAATATGATGGAAATATCAGACAAGATGTTGAGGATAATTATGTTCTTGTTGAAAACAATTGTACAGAAATAATGATTGGATGTAATATCGAAGTAAGAACGGAAATTTTTCTCAGAATTCAACTAATTTAATGGAAACTATACACATAGATATTCTGACAATTCTATAAATTTACTGTGAAACACAAAGAAGATACTTGGTTAAATAATGATTTATTCTGTCCTTCCAGATTGTCTGTATATGGTTTGGTGATTAGGACAAACAATCATTAAGAGAATTTCATAGAAGACTCAATTCAAAAATAGCAGCCAACTGATAGATGCCCTTCAAATTAAGCATTTGTTTAAATGTTAGACTAGAACCAGTACAATACCACTTTTATGGCCAATATTCTTTTTTGATGCAATTTGGGAGCTGATTCATTAAATTTTCAAGAAAAAACTGTTATTTTCTAAAAAGATGTGAACATAGATATAATGATATATGAATACTTAGACTTTAGATATAAGGAAACATTAGAAAGATTTCTATTTCATAGAAATTACAATGGTGTAACTATAGAAATACTTATATTTTGTAAGAAATAGACTCTTTGACCGCAACAGATGGTGGCTATTTGGGAATTAACAAAGAAATAAAGACCATGGAAAAGATGCATGGCAAACACCTGATGCTGAAGAGGCATAATTGATAATCAGAGAACTATTGATCATCATTACTTCATTGTGTTATATACATCTGACTCTAGAGGAAAGCCAAAAGGTGTACAACATTCTACAGATATGATATATGGTATACTGTATGAGCAATATTCATTTGAGAATAATTAATACGAATCGCAATGAAACCTATTTTGTTCATCTATCAAATTTTTATAGGATTTACTACATTTATTCTTGTGTGTGAACATCTGTTAGCATTAAACTCAACCATGAATATATTCCAGTCTTAAAAAAATGTTATTAATAGATATTTTTTCCTGGTTAACCACAGAAAATTTTATTGTTTTAAACAGCTGTTACCCTAAACGCGGGAAAATACTCTGGAAAATTTGCATATATAAGTTTAAAGTCTGTATAATTATAACACAGACAGATAAAGATATTTGAATAAAGAGCACAACATTGGCTTTGTTCTTTTGCATATTCTTTTTAACATTTCTAAAATATTTCCAACCAACTATTCAGCTTTAATTTTTCCAATTGAAAATGACAAATCTTTTACGAATTAATAAATTAAATAAGAGAAACCTTGTTTCTATCCAACATTTGCTTAACCCTTACAAAGAACAGAAATGCTTATTTATAGGAGGAACTGGTGAGCGCAGATCTGGAAAATCACTTTTTCAATCTTGCCTCTTGACAAGCTTCAGATCAACTGAAGAACTTTCTCAAATATTTAAAACAGCAAAAGGAGATGATTCTGTAACCAAAGGTAAATAAATAGAATATAATCTATATTTTAATTGGTAAATTTATCGGTAAATTCAACATTCTATAAATTTGCTGTTGTTCAAAGGATTGCAAATATACCAAAAACCTATTAAAATGTAAGATATTAAAATTCAAATTTGATATCTATATATTTCAAAATAAACATCTTAACAGATCACTCGATGGAGAAACTTACAACATTTTTATAATTGATTCGCAAGGTTTGGATTCATTGGAAGGATTAGGTCAGCATGATGAGTCTATTCTATGTTTTTTACTCTCATTCTGTGATTTAACACTGTATCACGTAAAAAAACACTTTCGAAGAAAGACATTCAAAAAATTCAAGTACGTTAAGTTTAATCTTTTAAAAATTTTTCCTATTCTTTTTTATAACCATTGATAAAATGTTTATTTTCCAGTATGTACTCACTTTTGGAAAACCATTTGAAAATTTGCCTAAAAAAAGCAACAGAGTAAGAAAATAGTTGTTACAAACTCAATAAATTGGTTGATAATATTTCTTACAGGGTTTGGTAGTTGTTGGTAGAGATAGGCCTACTGATCAATATGTATACGGTGAATTCTCACCAGAGTTTAAAGAAAAGGAAATCAAAGTACAGAGATTTATTGTTGTAAATATAAGATAAATTTGTAATTGATTCATTCTACAGATGATGGGTCCAATGCCATTAAACTTAGAAATGGAGTTTGTACCATTTCCGGAACCGAATGACAAAATTAGAAATGGTGATAGTGCTCAAAGTATGTTCTTATTATACCCACAAAAATAAAATTGAAAAAATATAATTAAATTTTACAGCTTTAGGTGAAAGCTTTAACAAAGCCATGTCCACTTTTAAAAATCAGCTTTTAGAGTTTGTTAAACATTTTAAAGAAAATGCAGTATTAGGTGAAGAAGTGCCTAATCGCATTGAAAATATTTTTACAAAAATTAGCAATATCGAATCTATCAGTTGTCCAAAATCATTCCATGAATTGGCTACAAAATCGCTTTTTTCAAAAGTAAACTGAACTCTTTGATTTCGGAGAAAACATCTATTTTTCAACCTTTTATTGAAGAAGATGATATGTGCAGATATTATCAGACAACAAGAAAACTTATTAATGTTATTACAAAGTTCAATTTTAGAGATGAATTTAACAGGAAATCTCTAAACTCAAAGATGGATTTACACTATGAACAGATTCATGAGGAGAATCAAAGTAAATTGAATGATTTCAAAACCATATGCAATTATTTGGAAGAATATAATAAGGAATTTATTAAATTAATTACAGATGATAAAGTTACTGATGAAAAATATTTCTTTAAATGTCTAGAAAGATTTTTGGAGACAAATGAAAAACATTTCGAGTTGCTTGAATTATTAGAAAAAACACATTCGGAAGCTACGAAGAAATTTTTTATCTCTTGTGACAATTTAAAATTTGACAAAGATATAGAGGAAACAAAAAGTGTGAAATTTTCAGAAATTTGGTCACAGAGTAAACCAACAGATGAAAAAGAAGAAAGTAGTAAAAATGTCACAGTAGGACTGGCAGCAGCTGGTGGAGTAACAGTTGGGGCAGGTGCTGGAGCACTTGCTATTGCTGGCGGAACAGCAGCTGCCGAAATAACAGCAGGAGGAGGAGCAGTTCTTGCTGTAGAAGGTGCTGTAGTTGGAGGAACAGCAGTAGCTGCATCTGTATCCATTATAACTGGTGGTGTTGTTCTTGCAGTTGGAGCTGTCTTAGGAGTTGCAGCACTCGGTCATTATGCTTATACAAATCATTGTGCAGTAACAAAAAGTAAAGAGAAGATGAGAATTAAATTAGAAAATGAAAGAAGTACAAGACTCAGTAGACTTGCATGTCTGCATGAGAAACAAAAACCACACAACTATTTGAAAAATATTTCTCTTACATGTGAATATGTGGAATGTAGAAATTATTTAGATAGTATCAACTTTGGTGATATTTTAGAAGATGAAAATAATAGACAAGAGAATCTTATTTCTATATTTAAAACATTTATTCAAAAGGTTTAAAGTAAAAAATATTTTTTCTATATTTAAATTAAAATTTTAATTTCTTTTTTTTTTTTTAACATTTTAGATTCCAAAGAAACAATCAAATTTATAAGTTTGACCCTAATGAGAATTATGAAATGGTTGGCACTTTTATTTAAAAATTTGACAATTTTTTGTTAAGGTATAAAAATGGGAAATAAACTAAAGGAAAATGTTTGGTAATTTGGGAACTTTTAACTACAAACTTGAATTAAATGTGTTTGGCATCGGAAATGCCATACGGTGGAGGAGAAGTCTACTAATTTTCTCACAGCCAAACTTTTTTTTTTCACAATTTTAACTTTTTTTAAATTCATTTTCCAATAAATTTATTAGTGTTATTAATTGTAAATCATAATCATACAACAATTGCAATCATTTAACCTTCATCTTAAGCTTCCTTTTCTGATTTATAGACTTGACCTTACATTCCTTCTGTGAATTGCAAATTGCTAAATTTGAAATTAAAAAAAATAGTAGCCAGAAAGGAAGGGATGTACTAGTTCCTAATGGCTGTTCTTTTGTAATAAAATTTAAGGATGCAACAGAAAATGTCAACAAATTGGTGCTTCTACCCTAACCCCAACCCAGCCCTTAGCTGTACCTAACCTTTTCCTTTATCCCTAACCCTTGGAGGAGATCCTCCTAAGTACAAATCAGTTGCTGCTTTCTTCTGCCTAACCATTTCTCAATCAAAATTTTTGTCTTGAAATTTCTCATTTGTGGACGTTTTCTGTCAACCCCAAAATTTAAAACTGTACTTTGTTGTGTTGCAATCGTAGGAATTTCATTCTTGTCCCAACCATTTTCATAAAAGAAGCTAAAAATGGAGTAATGGCTATTTTCCATGTACAAGAACAAGTAGTTGCACAATAAAATCTCAGATTAGCAACAGAGGTGAATGAGAAATTATAATGGAAAAGAATTAATTGCTCTCTGTGATACTGGTGCTCTTATGTCCTTCATCACTGAGCAATATTCATTTGAGAATAATTAATACGAATCACAATGAAACCTATTTTGTTCATCTATCAAATTTTTATAGGATTTACTACATGTATACTTGTGTGTGATACAATAACTTTCAATTGCCATTAAAAGTAGGCTAAAAGATGAAAATGTGATTGAAAAAATGATTAAAAATCCCATTTGTAGGAAATAGATTCTTTGACCGTAACAGATTATGCCGCTATGGAATTAACAAAGGAACGAAGAACATAGAAAAATGTATGTCAAAATTGTTACAAAGGAAGGGAATCGACATGAGATTTTTGAAAGCAACATTTTGGATTGAAAAATGGTTATGAGGAGTAAAGTAGCTTTTGATTTATAGTTAGGAGGGTTCAATCTAAGAGTTAGGAGCAATCAAAAAGGTTAAGGAGAGACAAGGGCTAGGTTAGGGTTAGGGTTAAACTGTGCAATTGGGGATGTTTTCTGTCATATCCCCAAGGAAGATATCAGTAATACAGCTTTTATAAGAGTATTGTGTCGTTGTTTATTTGATATAAACAAAAACAGTAAATAATAAAAAACATGAAAAGAACAGGAAAATAATTTGAAAAAATTCATCTCTTTAAAATACTAACATTAAAATTTTGATTTAACTTTATAATTAATTGTTGAAGGTGTAATTTGCTTAAACCACAAGATTGAATATCAATGTATTTAAGACTATTCATTGATTTGAATAATACATCACAAATATTTTCCAATCCATTGCCTATCATTTTATTTCCATTAAAATCAATAAATTCCAGTTGACAGCAATTTCGTAACAAAAATTTAATATTTTGAAATTCATCTCTATTTAGATTACACAATTGGAAATTAATGTTTTTTAAATGATTCGATGAATGATTGAGACCACTACAAATATATTTTATTCCATTTCCAATCTGCCTATTCCCTTTGAAATTAACTATTTGTAGTTGAGAACAATCTTTTAATAGATTTCGTAAAATTTTACATTGTACCAATTTTATGTTACAAAATTCAAAGTTTAAATGTTTTAAAGTATTTGATAAATTAGATAATTGTTGACAAATATATTTGAATTTCTTATAAATCTTTCTATTACCTCCCAAAATTAATGTGTCAATTTGACAGCAATTCTTTAATAAATCACCTAAAAGTTGTAAATTTTCCTCACTCAAATTGCAATCTTTCAAATTTATAGATTTTAAATATTTTGATGAATAAAATAGGCTTTTTAAAATATATTTTAAATCCATTTTCATTGTTTTATTGCCACTTAGATTAATAGACTCAATTGTTGAGTACTTTTCCAGCATATTCCCAATATTTATACAACTTTGTCGTTTTAAATTACAAGAATCTATATAAAAATTTTTATATTTTGATGATGAATAAGATAATCCTTCAAAGATATTCACTAATCCATGATCCATATATGTATTTCCATTTAAATGAATTGTTTCTATGTTGGAAAATTTTTTCAACATTTTCCCAATTTGTCTACATTGAACTAGATTTAGATCACATGAATTAAAATTGATAGACTTCAAAGTGATGACAGAATGTAAAAGTCCTGTAAAGATATTTACAATTCCATTTCTCATTCTATTATTCTTAATAAAATGGATTTCTTTTAATTTTAAACAATTTTTCAGCATATTTCCAATGTTTTGATGTTTTAGTATGTAAATATAGATGTTTAGTATAATCATTCTCACCTTCAGAAAATTGATTCTTAAGTTCACAGTTCAAATGCATCATTTTGGAATTATCATCTAAATTTTTAAAGCATAAAATTACTTGACTATAAAATGCTCGAGTATCAATTTCATTCCTTGAATCTAAGCATCCATCAGATATTAATTCTTTATTATTTTTTAAATAGTCTTGTATAGACATTGTGTCTGTCTTGTTAAGGCAATTTGAGTGAGTTTATCAGGCAGTTTTTATCAGTTTTGTCAACATAGATATCAATACATATTAACAAAGTTTGGAGAAAGAGATGACTAATAGAAAAAGAAAGTAAGAGTAATGTTGAATCATTCTATTTTATTGATTGTGTTGTACATGCAATACTTTTTTATATAAGATAATTTACAATTTATATTTTATATTATATTGAACTTAAAATTATTATAGGATTACACCAACATCACTTAGAATATACTGAGGAAAGCTTGTTTTACATGGGACCTGAACAAAACGTCCCCTAGACCAAAATACTTTACTATTTGAACAGTTGTTGTGCCAACATTTCTATGAAAGCGGTAAGATTTTTGCAAGAAAGGGAGAATCTGCACGAACTGCATCAGATTGGGAAATTGTAACTGTAGGAACACCTGATGCTAAGAATGATGGTTAGTCAATATTCTCTTAAAACTGTATTCTTAATAGTATCTTATAAATGAAAATTTTAAAGCTGTCACTGGTGATCCTCATTTTGTGCAAATGATTGTTGATCAAGAAACCAAAAACCCCTTGAAAATATGTTATGATGTGACTGGTAAATCTGGAGATGAAATATACATTTTAGGAGATAAATTTACAAAAACAAAAGTAACTGGTATTCTAATGAATGATTATTATATGCATTCATTTAAAGTTTATCAAGAGAATAGATTATACATTGTTAATACTGATGAAATTCAATTGGAAAATCATGAAAAAATAGTTTGGAAAAATTCTTTCCATTACAAAGATGACAGTAATTCATTGGAAATGTTTATAAATAATGAAAATGTTTTCATTTCTATCAGAAATTAGAAATACAATAAACTTAGCATTGCAGTTAAGAAATCCAATAATCCTTTAATAAGCACATATTTGGATGTCAGCTTTGGCAATTTATCTAGTACAAGTGCCAGATATAGTGGTTTAATTGGATATATTGGAAAACAATCAAATTGCGTTTCTCAATTCAGCTCAAGATGATCAGTTTGGTGTTCTTAAACTTAATAATCAAACCACTTTTGTTGAACTACAAAAAAGAAATGATATTGAATGTTGGTTGGTTCAATACAAAAGTATAATAACTCCTAAACAACCTAAACATTTCATACTCAACTAACAATTTTATTTTACAAAAAAAAATTTAAAGAAATATATATTAAATATCTTTTAATTAATTAATTAATTAATAATACACATTGAACTAAAGTGCACAAGAACAGTTTGCTCTTGTAGAAAACCCTGGACTGAATTCAATACTATTTAATTTGAACAACTACATTAGTCTTACTCTAACCACCTAAGAACATTAATTTAGAGGTTAGCTAAAGAGTATCAAAAGGTCAAACTGAACTATGTTTGACTTTTGGAACAGTTCCAATTTCTCACATTCAATGGTTGAATTGAATGTCACCAAAATTGTTACATCTTACAAAAGAAGATGACCACCTAAATTTATCTGACCTAATTACTCAGGATGAAGGAAACTAATTAAAGGCAGAACCATTTTTAAAACTTTTAAGTGTGTTAAAATGTTAGTTTGCATTGTTGAAACTTTGAAAATGTGATGTGTTTAACTCTTAGGAAGTAAAGAAATCTTACAAATTTAACAGTTATTATCTTAATTTTCTATCCGCTTGTTTAGAGATAAAAGGTCAGAATATTCAATACAAACCTTATTTGGAAAATACTGGCTGTACTTTCCTGCTGAGGTTGTAGGTAAGTACTGATCCAAATAGAACCAAATCAGAAGTAAGCCACTTAGAAAAGAGATGTAGAATTGAGGGAGGATCAATATAGAACCAAAATGTAAGAATAATATAACTGTATTCTAAAGTAATACTGGACCTGTTCACAAAGGGAGTTGATTTAGGACTGAATGCCTGTTACTACCTACGCCCTGCTGTTATACAATTCCTTATCAGTTGTTTATGCCTTAGCTGTCAACAACAAGGGTCTAACACCAGATAAGGATTGTTCACAACAAACAGGGTCAAGGGTTATCATATTATGCAATAGTGATGTAAACAACAACAACTTTGTGTAGGCTACCCCAC